ACATGCTCTCCCAGCTGCAGACATGGCAAGGCCTCCCTCCAGGCCGGGAGAAGCCCGCGTGTTGGCCTCTTGGTGCTTGTGCTCTGTGTCCCACCCTCTCGTACTGCTCTTCCCTTTCTTGGAGCTCCGCGACCCTCACTGGGAGGGTGCTTGGATTGAGGGAGAGAGGAAAGGTCACTCGGGGACATGGCAGTCCTTCTTCCCAGCCTGGGCTGCAGCTACTTTGGGGGTCACTGAGACTGGGAGGGTCTACCTGCCACTTTCTCCCACTGGCCCCTCTCCCCTTCCTCACGTTGCCTCCAGCCCTGTCCATCCAGGTCTCTGGCCTAGGCCACTGCCACACCCCCGGGCCCACCCCTCCTTTCTATACCTGGCATAGAACACTGACCCCGTTGCCTCCTGGCCTCATCCCTCTCGGTTGAACTCCCTGCCATGCAATTCTGTGGGGAGGGACTCATCTTTTCAACGGATGCTGCCGGAAGGATTGGATGTCCACACAAAACCCCCAAACCCCAAACTGAAAACGCTCCGATCCACACCCTGCACAATACACAAAAGTTACCTCGAACTGGGTCGCTGACTTAAATACGAAGCTGAATACTCTACAACTTCTAGAAGAAAGCACAGAAAACCTTTGTGACCTTCGGTTAGGCAAAACTTTCTTAGACATGGCACACTCAGAGCAAGATCCGGGCTGGTTGCAGTGGCTCACTCATGCCCGGAATCCCAGCGCTTTGGGAAGCCAAGGTGGGAGGATTGCTTGAGCCCAGAAGTTCAAGACAAGCCTGGGCAACATGGCAAAACCCCATCTCTACAAAACATCAAAAAATTAGCTTGGTGCGGCCGAGCGCAGTGGCTCATGCCTGTAATCCCAGCACTTTGGGAGGCCAAGCCAGGCGGATCATGAGGTCAGGAGTTTGAGACCATCCTGGCCAACACAGTGAAACCCCATCTCTACTAAAAATACAAAAATTATCTGGGCGTGGTGGCACGTGCCTGTAATCCCAGCTACTTGGGAGGCTGAGGCAGGAGAATCGCTTGAACCAGGGAGTCACAGGGTGCAATGAGCGCACTCCAGCCAGGTGACAGAGCAAGACTCCGTCTAAAAAAAAAAAAAAAAAAAATTAGCCTGGTGTGGTGGCACACACCTGTAGTCCCAGCTACTCAGGAGGCTGAGGCAGGAGGATCACTTGACCCAGGAGCTGGAAGCCGCAGTGAGCCATGATTGGGCCACTGGACTCCCACCGGGGTGATAGAGTGAGAACCCGTCTCAAAATAAATAAGCAAAAGCACAATCTATAAAATAAAAAAAAAATAGTTAAATTGGCCCTTATCAAAATCAATAACTTCTGCTCCTTGAAAGATACTGTTGGCCGGGCGCGGTGGCTCACACCTGTAATCCCAGTACTTCGGGAGGCCAAGGCAGGCGGATCACCTGAGGTTAGGGGTTCGAGACAAGACTTGCCAACGTTGCGAAACCCCGTCTGTACTAAAAATACAAAAATTAGCCAGGCATGGTGGCTTGCACTTGTAGTTCCAGCTACTTGGGAGGCTGAGGCAGGAGAATCGCTTGAACCTGGGTGGTGGAGGTTGCAGTGAGCTGAGATTGCGCCACTGAACTCCAGCCTGGGCTACAAGAGTGAAACTCCGTCAAAAAAAAAAAAAAAAAGGAAAGGAAAGAAAAGAAAAGAAATAAAATGTTAAGAGAATGGAAAGAAAGCCACAGACTGGGAGAAAAATCTTTGCAAATTACATGTGTAATAATGGACAGATATCCAGAAGATATAAAGAAGTCTTGGGCCAGGCATGGTGGCTCACGCCTGTAATCCCAGCATTTTAGGAGGCTGAGGCAGGTGGATCACTTGAGGCCAGGAGTTTGAGACAACTCCCGCCTGGGCAACATAGCAAGACTCTGTCTCAAAAAAAAAAAAAAATTCTCGGCTGGACATCAGGTGGCTCATGCCTGTAATCCCAGCACCTTGGGAGCCCAAGGCGGGATGATCCCTTGAGCCCAGGAGTTCGAGACCAGCCTGGGCAAAATAGCGAGACCCAGTCTCATTCTATATATTAAAAATTAAAACCAAAATGTAAAGAAGCCTCAAAACTTAATAAAAAGGAAAGAATATGATTTTTATTAATGGTCAAAAACTGGAATAGACTCTGGAGAAGATACACAGGTGGTAAATGATCACGCAAAAACTGTTTAACCTCGGCCCGGCGCAGTAGCTCAAGCCTGTAATCCCAGCACTTTGGGAGGCCGAGACGGGCGGATCACGAGGTCAGGAGATCGAGACCATCTTGGCTAACACAGTGAAACCCCGTCTCTACTAAAAAAAATACAAAAAAAACTAGCCGGGCGTGGTGGCGGCGCCTGTAG